GATGCCTCTAGCATCCCAGGTGATGCCTCTAGCATCCCAGGTGATGCATCTAGCATCCCAGGTGATGCCTCTAGCATCCCAGGTGATGCATCTAGCATCCCAGGTGATGCCTCTAGCATCTCAGACGATGCCTCTGGCATCACAGTTGGTTTCTTTGGTGAGCTCCTAATTTGAAATTCACGCAGTTTGGAGCTCACTTTTCTTGACCTCCCCTTAGTCCCTTAGTCCCTGTAGTCCCTTTAGTCCCTTAGTCCCTTAGTCCCTTTAGTCCCTTAGTCCCTTAGTCCCTTTAGTCCCTTAGTCCCTTTAGTCCCTTAGTCCCTTAGTCCCTAATTTCAATTTGAAATCAAGTGCTCTTTTTTCTGTTTAAATTCAGAATGAAATTAAATAACCCATAGTATGTTCTTTTCTCCCATTCCGGGGCCCGATACATAGCTTTTTGCCGAAACACCTATGACGATTCACCCATGAATACTTTACACGTATACCACATAACTATCCAAGTAGAGGGTGCGGTGTGCGTGTGGGTATGGGTGTGGGTGTGGGCGTGGGTGTGAGTGTGCGTGTTCTAAAAGAGATACCGACACCCACACCGACACCGACACCCACCCCACACCCACACCCACCCACACACCCACCCCCATACACCCACACCCACAGCCACATCCTCACACCCACACCCACCCACACCCACACCCCACACCCACACCACACCCACGCCCTGCGTATCTGTTGTTCTGGTTACCAATGAAGCTCCTGCACACGCAGTTACACATTTTGTCCTTGAAAAGTGAGGTATTGAATTTTAAATTCTAGCGTATGCCTTTGATAGTCTCGTACTTACAGAAGATTGCAACTGCAAGATGACACCTAATCAAAATCGAAAGACTCGGCTTGAACAGTTTTGTAGAGATTCGCTTGCTCGTTCTTGAAAACGTATAAAATGGCATCCTCGTGTCCTTAGAGTAGATAAAAAGTATGAAATTGTTCATCATCAATGTTTATTTTAGTAAACAGAGTATACTTACTAGATGTTGGGACTGTTTCGATTGCCGATAATCAATGGACGGGACTGGGTTGAAGTTTGATAATCCATAGAATGAGTTTCTAAGACTTCATTCAATCCATTCGAAAATCTCGTCTAACAACCATATGATCGTTAAGAAATCATGTTTATAGAACAGCAAGGCATCTCAATCAATTTGACGTTGATATTTATAAAACAAAAGTTTAAAGTTATGTGTGAAAGAAGGAAGAAATAAAGGTATAATCTTAGACATTCATAAAGAATATAATATATTAATCTCATCAAAAATTAAAATTAAATCAAAATAAAATAATGTTCGTTGATAATGTAAGAATCTTGTAGTGACGATCTGATTTCATATATAATAAAATACCGTAAAATATTTAAAGACCAAAGGTAACATTTTCACCAATATTACACTCACACTTCATTGTATCTATGTGATTACGATCTTCATCAGCAAAGAAAATCTTGATAAAATTTAAAAATAACTCAAGATTATTTCGATCGTTAGATATGATTTATTTTTATGAATAAAGTTCACAAATAATTTTTTTCAATAATCAATATTTTTAAAACAAACTACTAGCGTTTGTTTTTGCACACCATCGCGACGTTTTAAGATAGTCCAAAACGATTTTTAATGCTTCACTTGTTCCGATTCGTTCTAAGGCTAATAATGCATTACCATTCACATAACGATTTTGATCAAAATAAAGTGCATCTTTTAATACAGGTATTGCTTCAGTTGCTTTAGCACCAATTTTAGCCAACGATAATGCTGCAGTAATTCTCGCATGAGATCTGTTTACTGTATCCAATTGTTGATCTCGATCAAGAAGGATATGTGTTAAACATCGGACTACTATGTCAACATCATTTTGGTTATTTGACTGAATAGTTCCCAATGCTTGACAACAGTATTTTTTAACTAACCATGAATCAGTAATTTCCAATACATGTACCAATAATGGCAATGTTTCAAGTGCTATTGATCCCATTTCAGAAAAGATAAATGCGATACAGTATGCTTGATCTTCATTTTTTTCCTCTTTTTTTAATACTGTTTGTAATTCATTAATCACGTTTTTGTTATATCGACAAGCCGTTAATGCATATGCCGCTTCGAGACGATAGATTTCTTTATTATTTGATAATTGTTCGATTAAGACATGATATTCATTACTTAATGCTAGATTATATGCTGCATTAAGACGAGTTTCACTATCTTGGTTGTGTAACTGTATTTTCCAGTTAATGATATCTTGTTCAGTAGAAGATTGTTGTATTATCATTGTACCACCCATCATCCAGTTCCAAACATGTTTGAGAATTGGTTGTAATAAACCTGCATCTGCAGCATCATAAACAGCATTTGTTGGATCATGATTCCACGTTGGTTTAGTCGGTTCTTCGAGCCTATTAAATTGAAATTTAAACATAAAACGGTAAGAATCTTTTGTTCGATTGGCTGTTCCTTTATGAACAATATCATAATGAATTAATACTACAGTGCCAGCTGTACAAACCAGACGAACATCATGTTGTTTGTCAGTTTTTATATCAACATCTTCGGGTGGTGTTTTGTTTCTATCATATACCCAATCTGCAGCATCATATTGTGATCGAGGCCTAATTGCAGTTGGACCCATCTCTAGAAGTACATCTTGAGGATAATACATGGCCATAACATAACGTAATTGATGATGACGAAGTGGCTTAGGATAAAGAAAATAAGAGTCTTTATGCCATGGTTGATCTTCCGTTCCAGGTTTTGTTAAATGAGGAAATCGATGTGGTTGCATGGTATATTTTGGACCCAATAAACTTTCTAATGCACCACTTACTACCGGATCATTGAATACATTTTGAAGTTGAGGAATTCGAGGAAGAATATTGTTTCCTGGATTACCTTCATCATTGAAAATCGACAAAGTTTGAGTGAATATGGATGAATGAAAATTTGCATCAAGAGATATAGGTTGAAGAACTAAATAACCGTTGATTAGAAAGTTTTGCATTTGTTTATCTGTTAATAAGTACTGTGTATTCATCGTGAAGTATATGATAATATTGAGAATGTATGTGTATTATGCGATCATTCTTTTTTTATGATGTATAAATACGCCGTTGTTTGTTCTTGTAATAATATTTATAAATCATTTATATGTGTAGAAAACAAAGAACAAGAGAGTAAGCGGCATCTAACATGATTAATTAATTCAAACGAATGAAAAACTAGTTCATCATTAGTTATTAAAGAGGTTAAACAGTCTAGAAAAGTGATTTATTTAATTTTTGTTCTAATAATCACAATTAATTGATGAGAAGCTAGCACGAACACGAAGCATTACCACGAACTGCAATGTTTCGTAATTGATGATAAGTTCCACCAATGAAAATTCACAATAGTGAAAAGCATCAATATAGAGGAAATATTGTTGGACATGGCTTTCGCTAGCAACAAAAGTTTTACATTTACACATACTAGTGTCGAACTATCGATTATTTCATATAATTTGATGCACTGATACTTATGATATCAGATTTTCTATAGCACAAAAGGGTGTGGGTGTGTGGGTGTGGGTGTGGGTGTGGGTGTGGGGTGGTGTGGGTGGGGTGTGGGTGTAAGGATGGGGGTGTGAGGGTGTGGGTGGGGGGTGTGAGTGTGGGTGGGTGTGCGTGAGGATGTCGATATTGTCTTCATTAACATCCATGCCTGTATCAACACCCACACGCTCACACCCACACCCACATCCTTACACCCATACCCTCATACCCACACCTATTGTAGCAAATAAAAGTATTAAATTCGATTTATCAAAAAGCAATTTCAGTGATAATACGCGACATATTTTGAAAATTTTTATTTTTTATTTAAAATATGACCCATGGGCACCCATAAAAAAATCGGACGACCCAGCCCAACTCATGATTTTCTGTTAGAAAAACTTCGACCCATGGGCTGGGCCCAGCCCAGCCCATTAGGACCTCTGAACCAGTATTATCTTCATCATTAACATCCTCATCACCACCATTTGCTTTAGCTGTACATAATGTCTAGCTTTTTGATTTTTTTATGCAGATTGTTTCTCCACTAATAATTGATTGTATATAAAAAATGATCTTATTCAAGATATTTATTTGTAAATAAAGTTGATCTTATTGGTTCATTCAATCAATTGTCTTTCATTCAAAGATAAAAAAAAGCCTAATAATAAAAAAAGTGATGCTTATAATGTAATGCATGTAATTAACAACCGTTTAGAAAAAACAATAAGGACATAGTGAAGAACATGTAGATTGTATGATCGATGATGTCTAATCATGTAAAATATTATTTACTCATCGCAACTTAGTGTCCCATTAGGTAATGCTATAATGCCAAATGTATACGCAGTATATAATGCTTACCAAACATTTATTAGGTGTGGGTGTGAGGGTGTGGGTGTGGGTGTGGGTTTGTGTGGGTGTGGGTGGGTGTGGGTGTGTGGGTGTGGGTGTGGGGTGTGGGTGTGAGTGGGGTAGGTGTGTGGGTGTGTGAGTGTGGGTGTGGGTGTGGATGGGGTGTGGGTGTGTGGGTGTGGGTATTGTTCTTTTCGTCAGAAAGATACACACCCACACCCTCATAGACTTTATTACTAAAATTCTGTCGAATACAATTTCCATGTACGAGATTGCTCTTCATATAAAACAAAATTTCCCCTGAACGAACACCAATGTACGACCTCATATATTCATAAGTTCTTTCTAAGGAAGTGCTCAATGTACTAGAAATCCCAGAAATGAATTAATTCGAACGAGACAAAGAATTGATCACTAGCGTTTATGAATACTCACGCGTATTACATCGATCACTAGTATCCCCAGGTTAATCACGCCCGATCGGATCCTATCAGCCTCAAATAATTCCGACTAGATCCTTTCAAAAGTTGTCGGAATCCTATCTACCAGATTCTGACCCTCGGATCCGACCAGATTCGTACAAAATTCGACCGAATCCTGTCGGATTTTGTCGAATTCTGACGATATCCGGATCGTAATCCGGTAGTTAGGATTGCTTGTTCTGGAATCAATAATAGCTATTTTTGATGCTGTAACCCTACTCGTAATCAAATTTTGTAATTCTGTCAAAACTTTCTAAGCTTTATCTAATTGATTTCTTGATAATTTTCCTAATGGCATTTTAGTTAAATCAATTTCAAATGATAATAAAATTTGTTTCATATTTTCAACATTAAAAATCATTTTAAAAATATCTTGAACTGAATTTGGTATTTTTGAATGAATATTTAAAAAATTTAATTAGAAGAAAATAAATAAATAATAAACTTATCATGCTCTAAAGACAAACTATTGACAACCATTATCAGATTCAAGTGATCGTATTTTCTAATAGGAATTTGTGCTACATGCGATATCGACAAGACCAAGAACAGCAGTAAATATTCCACCTGTTTCTGTGTCTTTAAGAACATGGCAAGTATCTTTCAGTCCTTTAAAAATAAAATAGATTTTTTTTAAAATTCAACCTAAATCTGGATCAACAGCAGCTCTATCTTTTATTTTTAATTTGATTTTATCTGGTACAGTTTTGTTTAATGGAGCTTAAAATAAAATAAAATTGAATTTATACTTAATTACTTGATGAATAATATACGATCACATTTTGTTGATGCTGTTGTACATGATTGTCGATCAGATTTTATGTTTGCTTCTTGATCTTTTTTCGCTTGTTGTCGAATATGTGATAAAATTCCTCATTTAGAAATTTTACATTTTCCCATAACTATTGACGGACGATCATTTTTTATTTCATTTAAAAATTCTTCTGAAACAATGTGAATAGTTACTGCTTGAACTTCTTGAAGTTTTTCACTCATTTTTTGAATTTCATCTTTTTTATAAAAAAATCAAAATTGAATAAAAGAATTTAAATGAACATAAAAAATACCTTGTGAACTAATAACAATTCGAATAGTATCATCAACTTTTTATGAAAATGTTCCACCTAATCGTTCAACTTCTTTTTGCATAATTGCAAGAGAACTTGATAAACGACCAGTTGATGATACAACATAATTAGAAAGTGGCAAATTCTGATAATATGTTGGTCTAAAAAAAAAACAATCTTTTTTCAATACTATCAAACAACAAATGACGACAAAACGAAACACTTCTATTTCGTAAGTCTAAACAACTGGATAAATCAAGATCAGATAAAATGATCTTCTCTTAAAATCGAAATCATATTCTAATGTAATATTAGTTTAAAAAAAAACTTACTCTTGAATAACTCTTGAAACATCGAGTGCTTTAGTAATAGTAACTTGTTTTTCAATGACTCTTGCTAAAACTCGATCATGTTTTTTATATTTCTATGATTTACTAAACAAAACGAAACTTGAAAAATGTCAATAAAAAGATAAATATTTGCAAAGCATCATATTCTGTTTTAATATCATCTGATATATCCAACATTTTTCTTGTTCGTGTTGTTGTTGAATAAAAAGATTTTGTCCATTCTATAATATGACCTGTACAACGATAACATGTATAACTAAAATAAACAATAAAAAAACATTTCTAGGAAAGTAATTTTTTATTTAAAAATAAGAAATCCTCAACATTCTAGACAATGTTCTAATGGACCAAATGCTATACAATCTGCAATTGCATTAATTAACTGAATTTAAAAAAGATAAATAATATTAAAATGCAATAAGTGATTTTACATGTGATTTTTCAGTAAGAATTTTTTGCTGATAATGTTCAAGTAATTCTTTTAAAACATCATTTGGTACTTGTTTTCTTAAAGCATTTTTGTACTTCTAAAGTAATTCACTTTGTTTCTAAAGACAAAAAGCTCTAAATTTAAATCTGAAAACGAAATGGCAATAAACTTTTTTTGTTGTATTTAATCTTGTTCAGGTGTTAAATCATTATTTTCTTCAGTTTTTGATGGTTGATTTTGTATTTATAAATAGTCTTCAAAGATATTCACAAATCAGATTACCTTCTTATGGACATTACTCTCAGTTTATGTAGCATACAAACTCATTTTTAATACATCCGAGAAAAAAATTTTTTTATCTTTTATTTTTTTATTTTTTTCATATAATAAAAAACTCTTGTGTTTGTTCTTGATGTATCTCATGTATCTTTTGTATTAAGTTATGATTAACCATCCTTGTTTATTGTTCGACAACTGTTTCTAAAAACCGGTTGTAATATAACGTACTCTTCTTCATCAAGAGGGTACATTTCTTTTGTTTCTAAAAATTGTTTTAAATCATAATTTGTATGTTCATAAACATATTTTTTAAGCTCGGCATTAACATGAGAAGATTTATTTGGATCTTTTTTTTCTTTAAGATAATTCAACATATGAACCGGATCAATTTCGAATTCTTTGGACACCTTTTGTAAAATTGAATATAATAATGGATATTCAGATAATAATTTCTTGCTATCAGTTTCTCGTTTTGAATAGATCTTCACATCAGTGTCTGGGAGATTGTTGTGTATCAGTTCTTCACATAACCAATCTTTAGGTATTGAAAATAAATCTCTGATCAACACTTGTCGTTCACGATATTTTTCTTTTTTTATTCTTTTTAATTCTTGTTGTTCAAGTTGTTCAATTCTTTTTTGGAATTCTTCTTGTTTCTTTTGCATTGCTTCAATATCTGTAAGTAATTTTGTATTTGTTGTTTTAATATTATCCATTTCAGTAGATAGAGTTTGAATTTTTGTTGTTAATTTATTAATATTGCTCTAAATAAATCGTATAGAAAAGAACATAGTAAATTGAAATAAAAAAGAATAACTATTACAGAAACATATTTGAATATCTGTGACATGATATTGTAAACACCTTCAATACATTCTGTTAATTCCTTAAATAAGGCATTAAATGATTCAATATTTAATGACGATGTTAAAAATTTTTCTTTAATTTTTTTAAGATGCAATTTTGTTTGATTCAAAAGGATATCGATTTGTTTCTCATGAATAGAATTTTCAGCTACGAATGAATTGTCCATTAATGATTTAATTATATCATCGAATAGTTGTGTACATTTTTTACGTTGTTGATCTTGTTCTTCAGGTAACATTTGTAAATTTTCATGTAATTCTTCGATGAGACCTATTGCACGTGGACTGATAAATGGTAATTTATCTTAAATTTGAATATTCATATTGATATTGTTTTTGAGTTGATAACGGATGGTGCAAAAGTTCTCGGAAAAATGTCGCTTCATTTTTCATCGGCTACAACATGTTTTGTAAAAATAAAAAATACCTATTCAGAATCAACGTTGAAAGCACTTTCTAATTGTATTTTCGAAAAATTTCTATGATGTCTTACCTTTGAGTAAAGGCCACGTCCTTAAATGACACTAAAATGTACACTGTAAAAAGCAACCCACAATGATACCGGCAGAAGAAACCGATACTTTCGTATTTTTCAAATATCTCCTATGCGTTCCATCATATATTGTTGTTCTGTTTTCCATTACATTCGTCGTTTAATTCTCTACGAATCTAGTAGAAAATACTATGGCATTGCTTAAAGATCGGTTCCTTCTGCCGCAGTCATTGTGAATGGCTTTTTACAGCTGTAGCCCATTTTAGTGTCATCTGAGGATGTGGCTGTTACTGAAAGGCAAGACATTCTAGAAATTTTTTGAACATACAGTTAGATAGTGCTTTCAACGTAGATTTTGGATAGTTATTTTTTATTTTTCGAAAACATGTTATGGTGTGGCCGATAAAAAATGCAGCGACATTTTTCCGGGAACTTTTGCATCACCCGTTAATAATGATATTTGGCAAAATATCAGTGATGTGAAGTGAAGTCAGTCAAAGTGGCGTCTATTGGCCCACGCTATTGCTAGTGTATATGTCCCTAGTAGAAATTAAAATGCAGTAGAATTTTAAATTCTACTGCATTTTAATTTCTACTGCGACATATATATATGTCGTGCCGAAGTTATAACTTCGGCAAAATTTGCCGTCGAAGTTGTAACTTCGGCAAAAATGTTGCCGAAGTTATAACTTCGGCAAACAGTGTAACTTCGGCAGGACATATAGATGTCACAGACGTATCAACAGATGTCGCTGATTGTCGCTTGTGTTTTGTATCACCTTCATTTGCAATGATTAAACAATTTGTATCTTCTAATATATGTAAACCGGATGAAAGTATTGAAGATATTCATTACAGTCAATGTTCCTAATAACGACACTAAAAATCTAACATGTCTTGCTTGATTTGGTGCATAGTCATTTTACACTCGAATCAAACTATTTTTATACATGCATGATCTTGGAAGTGTCCTCTTTCCAATGATATAAGAACCATTTTTCTCTGACACGTAGTTGCAGAGAACCCAGCGGTATACGAAAACAACCTGCGTCTGCTGTTATTAGGGTCCATTTCCCTAATAACAACAGTCAGCTAATTTTTGACCTTAATAACGACACTAATAAAATGCAAGCAAAAATGTACTTTTGAGAAAAAAAAATTTTTTCACGGTTTCTGATCAAAAATCAAGCAAAGGTCCCATTGGCATTTTTGTAGAGTGTAATGAGCTCTATCTATATCTAAAGGTTCACAATGAATAAATTTCCACTTATTGAGATAGAAAACTTGAAGAGAGAGGGTCTAGCATTGATCAAAAACCAAGTGATCCTAATAACAACACTAAGCCAATTTTTTTCACCCTAATAACAACACTGAGGGTGCGGGTGTGGGGTGTGGGTGTTGGTGTGGGTGTGTGTGGGTGTGGGGTGTGGGTGTTGGTGTGGGTGTGGGTGTGTGTGGGTGTGGGGTGTGGGTGT